TTTTTCTATCTTCTCTATTTCATCAACAATTTATTTAATTCGTTTTTTTCAACAACGAACAATTGAACTCTTTTGATTTCTACAAAAACCGTTATCCTTATTGTTTTTATAAGAATATACGCTAAAAAATTTATTTAGAGTGTTTAGAATTTATATTTGGCAGTGGATTAAAGTGTATWTTTCGATTTCAAAAATTATTTAGGTCATATATACTGAGTTTGTGCATTTCATCTAAAGTGTTGTGTGATTTTGTCACGCAAATTTAAAGCATCCCTACATCTAGGGAGTAGGGATGTACCAAGTAAACTTGAGTTTTCTATCTTTTTAAAAACAATAAACAACTATTTTATACAATTGAACATTTTAGCATGGGATTTAMAATTACCCTACTTATCTGGAGCAATTATTTTCTGATCCAATGATCCCGGTCTCCAATCCAATGAATCGACTTTTAAGTATTTAATTTAAACTTATCTCCTATTTATGATCTTTGGTGCGAAATTCACAACAATATAATGTTTAAATACTATTTACACAAATGTTAAGTATTCATTTAAAGTATTAAAACATTAAAAACCGTTTCATATATTTTTATATGTAACTCAAATCGAGGTTATAACCAAGAAATAGGTACCTACATGAAATAAATTATCGTTTTTAATATATTATAAAGATTTTTTTATATGCATTATACTATATACCTATATAATAAAATTAAGGTTTAGAAATTTCTTGCGGCTCTCCGAATGTCTTTGGAGCATCTATGCTTATTATATTTTTTAAAAGCACTTACAAAGCTGCAGTGCAAAGGAGATGGGGACAAATGAGGCAATTGCCCTAGAGCGGCAAAACTTGTAACATTTTAAAGAGCAGCAACTGTTTAAATATGTATGTTTGAAAGGGCACAAAATATGATTGTCCTTTGAGCGCCAATGAAAGTGGTGTTCACTGGCATTGAACACTGTATATTTACTGTCTATAAGGCTATACAAATTTGTAAAGAAGGATAAGACAAGTTTGAGAAAACAACATAAGTGACATTAATTCTAATCATCTTATCCAAGAAATAATGATTTATTGGAACAGATATTTGGTATATAAAAATAACCAAAAGTCTCCTCATGTTTCCTTTTAAGTTTTGACGTTGATATTTTATTATCTAATATACTCTATAATATTATACAAATATAAAGTACCTAACATATTATATATTAATGCTTTAACTCATGTGTAATATTATAATACGTAACTTTTGAACTGAAATTTGCCCTTTTTGGATACGTTTTCTCAGGCTTACAACTGTTACAATAATTATATAAGCTTATATATTATATTATTAAAGATACCTATTCAACTTACTCACAATTTTCACTTGAATCCGACTCTCATAGTCTCATTATTTAGAATTTTCAGTATASATTATAAATGAGCTCCGCGTACTTAGTTTTATTTCAGAATATTATTCTGAAACCACCTGATATTTTCTAAAAACCATGTTTGTGGTTAAAAACTGAAAATATGACATCTGGTGTTTTGTTTTTTTCTCGAATAACTTTGTTTGAGCTTAAATAATTATAATATACTTATTTATCAAAACTTATTTAATCCAACTATTTACACTGAATGTGATGTGTATAGGTAATCGAAAATACCTACTACCTAATACCTATGCTTTCACTTAAACGMCGAATTTTAAATGTGATGTACCAATTTCTCTTATTTTTCATTGTACCTACTACCTATAGCCTTTATTGGTAAATATTGCCTACCTATATCGCAACACTTAATAATATTCGCATTACCCATAGTATGTTCTACAAAACAATTAAATTAAAATGTGTATAACTAATTAACGTCTAACAACAAAACCGCATATCACATTGTCGTGACACGTAAATAAAATGCTTAGGTACCTACTTATAAGCATATAAATATATAATATTAAGTATTTTAACAGGTAAATATAAATATATAATATTATTTTAACTACTAATGCAATTTAATAATTAGTCTTCAGAGAATAGAGTAATATACAAACATAATATCATGAATCATGATATTATGTAGTAATGAAACTATTTTCATTAGATAATTTTTAAATTTTCCATTTAATCAAGCCTCAAATTATAACAGACCGTTCTGTATCTATACATGAATATACGGTTAACTAAATAAAACTGGTCTRTTAAAATAATATGTAAAATCATAAGTGCTTTCGGAAAAATTATTTTTTAAATTGTTACTCGCTAATCACCATCGACCAGAGAGATATACAGTTTCCTCAACAGTACCTACGTCATTTAGTCTATATCTGATCAACTCRTCTGTTCTATTTTCGTATATTTCCTTATCCTATATTTCCAAATGTTTTATTAAAATATTCTGGTTCGGTATAAAATGCTGTTCTTTCAACCAACCCATGAGGCTTAATGTAATCAGCRTAAAACTCTTTGATCGCATACACACATATACCTAGCACGATTCTTTTTAGAGATAACTTAACTTAAGATATTTTACGTAAATATACATTGGTAGGTAATACATTTCGATGTAAAAAATTAACTGTGGTTTCTTAAAAACAAAACACTTTGCTGTTCTTAGTAAATTTTAAAATTCTAACTAGCGAATTGAGCATTTTAAGATATTTTTCAAAGTTTTATTTTCGTTATACTTTAAAGTCCCCCGTCGTATCCAGAAACTTTGAGGTACATATTAAGTATATTTTCAGAACTGCTTGTCTAAACTTTGAGATACCTTTATCTAATAAAATATGTTTCCAATACTTAGTATTCATCAATGTAAAATTACGCGTCTAAGATAGGTAGTGCTTATAATATTATTATTAGGGTCCGGATTTGAAGGCAATATATTAAAAAAAAATCATTTAAAATGTAAAAATAGGCAAAAGAGGCACCTAATTAATATAAAAAAGCAACTCAAAAATATACTACAAAAATAAATATACTAACTTGTTGGTATTAAAAAAAAATCACTACCATGTACTTTGATAAACTGTCTTCAGTAAAACGTTGACGGTTTAAGCTCAAAATATTTTTATACATCGAAAACAAGTACTTTTATGGCCATATCAAATACTCGATAAGACAATAATGGATAAATCATGGAAACATAACATCGACATTCGACAATAAACCGTCTTCACAAGCTCCTATCGACTTGTACCGATATACGTAAGCTGTGTATAAAATTATTTAATCAATTGAAAATTAAACATAAAAAAGGCATACCTATATAAATACAAAAGGCAAAAAAAGCAAAAAGTAATTTATAATAATTTAGAAAGACAAAAAAAATCATCCATCGTCTTAGAAATTTAACGAAACACATGTTTGTATAAAAACTATTTTTCTATTATGATTATTAAAAGAAAGGCATTTGCCTTCAAATCCAAACCCTCATTTTATAGTTATAGGATTACATAGCTACCCATAATAGTATTGAAAACTTCCAACGCACCACAATAAAATTTTTCAACAGATTGTGGGTATTCATTGTTTTCAAGCCCATCTTAATTGTCMAATAAAATTAGAACTACTTGTTGCCAAATTGATTCTCAATATCATTGATAATTCCATTTAATTCTTTGATCTGTACATTTAAACATTTTCAGAACAACAAAATCATTTTACCAGAAAATAAAAAATAATATTAATAATATCACATAAAACATATAGAAGTTAGATGTAACAGGAGAGCGTAGACTCAATTATTTCGTTGACTGAAAATGTGTTTTTCTTAAGATTATTCTTGAGTTTGTATCACATTAGTTCATCTAAATCTTATTATTTTATTGTCTAAGCAGTTAATGCATTATGACCAAAACTTTAGAATAATATTGCAGTACATAATACTTTAATAGATATTAACCCAAAACAGAAAACCTCAATTTATGAACTCTGATTGCATTTACCTTTTTTTTTTTTACTTTTTACTTTTTAGTATATATGTGCAACACATAATAGACAAGTACATACCTACATTATAGTATTTTTTTTAATTGTTAAATATTTTACATTTCAATGCCATTAATTCAATTTTTTAAATTTAATATTTATAAAACACGTGTTTACAATCTCATGGTTACAATATAGTTATAACTACTGCAATAGCCAAAAATTTGATATAAATAAGCTAAGATGAATACCAAGTTTAAGTCAATTCTTGTCTGTAGTTGCCAATGACAGCAAAATAGCACAAAACAATGTGAAGGCAACTGCCTCCGTCTCTACCACAGTAGACTTTTATTGTAATTGGATTGTATTAAGACTCAGTACTCAGTAGCCAACTTTATTTTATACCAAGTGAATAGTTGTGTTGGATGGTGAACTACTCAACTACACTGGATTTAAATGTATAAAGATTGTTTTGAATTAAGCAAAACTTTGGTTATTGTTGAGTAATGTTACAAAAATCATGATTTATTTATATAAAAATTATGCTGTTAACAAAGTTAAATAATTATAACAAATTTATAGTATTGACAAATCAACATTCAACAATAATTAGATTATTAATACCAAAATAGTAGTAAAATATAAAAAAATTTGTTCTTAAAAAATAAAATTAATGATTTTCTTTCAATAATATAACTGATCACTAGGCGCATACATAATCATGGACAGCTTTATGATAAATGCATGTTACTGTTACATAACATACAAAAAATAATAAATAATGTATAAWACTTATTTAAAAGTATTTATAAATATATAGTGCATGTTAAGTTGTAAACAATAATTTATAATTAAAATTAACTAATTTCTAAACATTTGTAAGGATTTAATACTTGATTTATGCCCATAAGACATTGACTTATAAAATTAAGAATTATATTCTTAGTATACAGAAATTAAACAATAATATGTAATAAGTTAATGTAACAAACATTTTTTGTAAAATAAAACAAGTACATTATTACTGTTAAAGGAATAAAATATTTGTTAATGAACTAAATTCATTATAAAAAAAATACTGGAATCAATACAAATATTACATTGATAATGTTATTTGTTTTTAATATTAATTGCATTATTTGCGTTATTTTAAAATACTGTAAAATGTTTTGTTCTTTTATGTCTGTCATTTTCTATTTATATTTGGGTACATGCATACACACACACACAAATTTAAATATTTAATCAATATTTATCATGTTGACCCTGTTATTGACTGGTACTTTGAGCATAACAATCATACTGTATTTATAATTTTGGCTAAATGAGACGTGAGTTTTTCAAATAGTAAATGAGCAATGAATGTATAAATTTGTATTGAGCAACTGTTTCTACAAACAACATGCGCTGGTGTCGAGCCAATGATATGGTTTTAGGTATGTCCAATTCCTAAAAAAAAAACTCATTAATCAATAATTATTTTATCATGCAATAAATTAGTACAAATCATTTGATTGTATTAGTTATCGACATAGCCAATACAGTTTTCAAAATAGAATAACAATCTAAAATTCTTAATTTTCATTATTTCTTACAAAAAGGAAAAGAAAATATAAGGTATAATAATTCTATATTCTCAATACCAAAATGAATTCATACCTGATTGTGATCTAGTGTATACAATAGAAGATCAGTTAATACTGTAAGACCAGTTCTACCCACTCCTGTACTACAATGGACAAGAATTGGTGGATTACGATTGTGTCCTGTTGGTATTTCTGTGATTGTGTGTTCACGTACTGAACTCATTTCTTCCAAGAAACCTGTCGACAACAAATACATTTATTTATTTATGGTGAACTATATAGTTAGATTAGGTATTTCTATAACTATATATCTACTCAAAAAACTAGATTAGAAGAACAAGTATGTACAAAACAGAACAAAAAAACATGAACTGAAAAACAGTAATWTGAGATAAACGATTAAACAGCCACAAAGTGCAATTACATCTGTTGCTACTTTATTATTGTAAATTATAATATTGGAATCATTAGTATTTTTTTACAATTTTTTTTTTTTTAATTAAAACAACAATATTTTGAACTAATGTGTAAAATCACACTTTCTTACAATGTATGTGTATGTACACTTCATTTAAATTGTATTATTCATGAATAAAATWAAATTAAACAACAATGTCATTACCGCATCAATACAGTGAACAAACTATATATAATATTATAAACACCTAAAACTGTATTATGATGGCATACTACTATATCCAGTACATCAGATGAAATAACAATTATGAATTGTTAAATTTAGCGATTTACCCAAATAAGTATTAGCAAATTGGACCACACACAAATTGAGGCTGTTTAATTGTATAACTCTTTTTGGAAAGTTTTTTCTAGATAGAATATAGAACTCCTATTCAAGTTTTCTTAATTTTACTAATGACTATCACTAACCAAGAAAATGTGAAACATCAGTCGGACAATCTTGTTCAACCCATTGATCATACCGTAAATGCCAAACACTTCTAGATCGTCTAGATGAGTTGTGTTGCAATTTTAATTTACTAGTGACACAATGACCAGTCTCCTGTGTAAATTGTAGCCACACATGATACTAAAATAAGAGATGATAGAATTAACCAATTGCCATGATAAATATTAATGATTAATAAGATTAAAAATAAATAATACACTTACTTCCCCAAACTGTACAGAATGATCAGCAACTGTTGGAAAGTATTTTCCATAATTTTCATCTGTAGTATTGGTTTTGGGAAGAGATAAATCGAGAATAAGGTGTACTCCAGCCTCCCATACCATTTGCCAAAAATGATTCACTGTACTTGGCAATGGTGTCTGTGTTGCTATGTAAAATYTTTGTTCGTTTCCCACTGATGCCTAATAACACCACGAAAATTCAGAATTTAACTGATAATTATTATTAAAAACACAAAATAATCAAACTTACAGTAATATGAGATGCATTGATATATCCAAACCGATTTTCTTTACTAGGTGATAGACGAACACGATTTTCTTCATAAGGCAGAATATCCTTGTGCCTATATAAAGATTTTTATCAATATTATCAAAAAAAAGAAGAAGAAGAAATAAAAATATATACCTATTCCTTGAATAATTTTCTAATACAAAAGCTGTAGAAAATTCTGCATTTGGTTTAACTTTAGTTATTTTATCAAATTCATGAAATAATTGTGTGTCTTCTAATTTATGCTCTAAGATTTGACACTAAAATTGTAAAAAAAAATATTTGAATTGGTCATAGTTAAATAAATTAATTACAATCTACATACCATTGTGTCTTTAGAAATAGTTGAAGGTATAGGAAGTCGTGGAACTGTAGAGTGACGTTTGTTAAATTCCTCCACACTTATGTCACCATTTCTATTCAAAGTCTTACTTTTCACTGCACCACTCAACAAACCTGCCCACTTTCGCCGATTTTTACTCCTTCCTTCTTTTTTCAAAGTTCCACTACTACTGCTTTGATTTGAAGAATCTAAAAATTATAATAGTAAATAAGAAATACATTTCTATTTAATTTACTTAAATACACTATTATCTATAATATAATAATAATATTATATTATTTACCAAAAGACTGTTCTGCTGAATGAATAATTGATGTGGAAACTACTTGTGATGATACATTAGAACTACTACTCATATCTAAAGTGTTGTTTTTCATAGGCATAATTTCATGTTGCTGTTTTTCCACAATTATTTCTTCTTTTACTGGCTGCACTTGTTGAGGCACCTTACTAATAGGTGATTTAATCTCAGAAGCTACTTGTGCACCAGCCGCACGGCTGTGGACATCTTTAGAATTCCACGGCAAAGGTACATTTTCATAAATAGGTTCGGTACATTTACCTAAAACTATTAAATGATGAAATAATTGTTAAAAATGTTTGATCAAGCTAATGAAGTTTTAAGTTGAAAGTAAAAACAAATATATTATTAACTGAACACCCAGACCAATAATATAATTTTCTAGTATATATTATATAAAGTAATTTTATTTGAAATATTATCATTGTTGTTTATGACATAATTTAAGTCCTTAAAATTAAATATACAGTCTGTCCCAAAAATTCTGTATTACAGTATGAATTTTAGTGAGAAGACTGTGATATCAATTTATTTAAATATGATTTTTCATCAATAATCTATACCAAAATTCCAATTTAATGATTGAAACRTACACAGTTCGATAATATAATAATTTGGCATGGAGATAATTAGGGTAATACAAGATTTTTAGGATACTGCATACAATTGTATTTAATAGATGTGGTTATATTTATTATTAACTGAGTAAGAAATTCCAACAAAGGTTGACATACATCTAGTTGGTTATCTCATTAAATTATATTAAAATTAATTATCTTCCAGAAAACAATTATGAAACTTAATATTATTAAGTGATAATATTTGGATATTTATTTCTACTGGACTTGATATAATTACTAGATATTTTTTTGTAGTTAAGAGTTCTATTATAAGTTGATAAAATAAAAACTCACCTGTACTGCAATTATGTGGCCTTTCATTTACAATCACACTAGTTATTGGTTGATTTAAAATAGGTCCATGTTGGCCCATATAGTACATCATATTGTTTGCATTAAAACCTGTGCGAAACTCATCTACATTCTTTAAGAAAAATAGATAATTGATAAGTATTAGTTACTGAACTAAAGAGGTATTTAGAAAAAAATAAACCTTTTTTGGTTCGAGCAATGCGTTCAAATTTGTGTAAGTCCTGTGTGTATCAGAATTTGTCAACATATGAGAAGCATTGTAACGGTTTGGAGCAATCTGGAAATTATGACCTCTCGATGATAAAAGATCAGGGCTTGAACCACTTACCTAGAAAATAATTTATATCTCTATAATATAAAATACATATTATTACAAACTAAGGAAGTAAATTGAATAAAAACTTACTGGATTTTGAATGTACCCTAATGGACAAGCTCTTGCCAAATCTGGTGTGCTATAGCTAATTGGATAAGGTGGCGGTGGTTTGAACATTTGTATGCATTCAGTATCCTGGGCAGGAATATCTAAATCTGATGTTTTTCTGAAATTATTTCAATGAACACAAGT